TGTTTATTTTAAAAACCTATGGAGTACTATGTCCAGTTGGTACACCAAATTTCAAAGAAGACTTAGGCACAGTATATGTAAAGAGATACATAAAAACAGAACAACAACAAAAACACAGCTGAATGTTTCATTAAAAAGTACAATGTCAAGGAATTGATAAATAAACTTGCTTTATAGATAAATGAAAACAGAGATAATTTTACTTTTCTTGGAGAGCCATTGAGAGTTCAGTCTAAAACCTGAAATAGGTGTACCTACTAGGCTTGTTTGATACAAAAAAAATGGTTCAAAACTTGTTTCGGATGTAGTTTGATTTGGAAATCAATTCTGAGGAGGGCGACTAAAATGATCAAGGGTCTGGAGAACAAGCCCTATAAGGAGTGACTTAAAGAGATGGGCATGTTTAGCCTGAAGAAGAGAAGGCTGTGAGGAGATATGATAGCCATGCATAAATACGTGAGAGAAAGTCATAGGGAGGAGGGAGCGAACTTGTTTTCTGCTGCCCTGGAGACTAGGACGCGAAACAATGGCTTCAAATTACAAGAAAGGAGATTCCATCTGAACATTAGAAAGAATTTCCTGACTGTGAGAGCCGTTCAGCAGTGGAAATCTCTGCCCCAGAGTGTGGTGGAGGCTCCTTCTTTGGAAGCCTTTAAACAGAGGCTGGATGGCCATCTGTCAGGGGTGCTTTGAATGCAATTTTCCTGCTTCTTGGCAGGGGGTTGAACCGGATGGCCCATGAGGTCTCTTCCAACTCTATGATTCTATGATTCATAGAAATAAATATTCAAAACTTTTTGAAACTTCTGAGGCTTCCGAAACAGCTTCGTTAATGGCAGACACACATGCACAGTTGGAAATAAAAATAGCACTGGCACTGAGGAAACTTCAGGTGCTCTTCCACTTCTGACCGAGGAGCTCTTACACTCCAGGCCTGCCTCAGCTGTCAATGCGGAGGAGGAGGAGGAGGCGATCCTCCTCCTGTCACGTAGTTCAGATTATCAAGGTAGAGGTAAAGGTTTCCCCTTGAAATTCAGTCTAGTCCTGTCTTACTCTGGGGAGTGATCCTCATCTCCATTTCTAAGCAAAAGAAATACGTTGTCCATAGACACATCCAAGGTCATGTCACCAGCATGACTGTAAGGAGTGCCATGGCCTTCCCGTTGGCTCCTCAAACTGCACAACCAGATTCAAACTGCTAAACTGGATTCAAACTGTGGACCTACTGAATTATGCATTATGGAGATCATAGAAGGCAACTAAACTGCATGATAGAAGTCTACATCACTGAGTATATACATAATTCAGTTTCAAGATGCATTGCATGGCAATGTATATGGGGACTGAGAACAGATCAGGTATTCCTTCCAGGTGTTTTGGACTTCAACTCCCACCATTCTTAACATCCTCAGGCCCTTTTCTCTCCCCCCCAATCCCCCTCAGCTGCTTAAGCAAAGGAAGAGGAGGAAAAGAATAGGAAGGAGAGGAGAACAGAGAGAAAGAGAAAGAAAGGGGGAGGGTAATCACCCAGACTGCTTCTTTAATGCGGCTTTCCAGGGGAAAGAAAGTGGAGACATTTGCCCAGGCTGCTTCTTTAACACAGCTCTCCAGGGGAAAGGAAGGGGGGACATTCGCCCAAGCTGCTTTTTTAACACAGCTTTCCAGGCTTCAGCTGAGGCCAGGGTAGAGAAGCGGGGAAACGTTGAATTGAATAATTTCCAACTCACTTACCGCTTCCTAACAGAAATGGGGGGAAAAGCTTTGCAAGGGCAAAGGGACTTCTGGTTTCCTTAAAAACTTCATAATTACTTCAAAAAGCAAATCTTTCCAATTTTATTCCAAATTACAAAGATTCCAACTGAACCTAACCATGCCTAGTACCCACTGGTATGATTGCCACAAACTATCACTAGCTACAAAGCTACAGCAACTAATTTTATTTAAATGCTTGACAATAGAATTTATTACACTAGGATGCCTGATACATGTTCTATCTGTGACATATCCACAGATAGGATACCCAGAAATCAACATCCTGTGATCCATTGACATTGACCTTATCATTCCAAAATTAAGTCTAGACTCACCCCAGCCATTGGTAGGGGGGCAAGATCTAGAAACTGTCAAGTAATTAATCAGTAGATTATTTCTTTTCATGCTCCACATAAAAAAGTTAATTTTACATTCCACCAAGAACATCTTGCAGCTATAATACTCCAATATTAAGTAATATCATATATTTTACTTTCATTGGAGATAAGGAATAGAACATATTTCTTGTCTTATTTGAATTCTATTATATTTTACATTGAGGATCACTTTTGGCAGAAAAACCGACAATGTTCCCTCTCCTCTCAAAGCCATCAATTCCTCAGCAAAACAAAACATTGGTATCAATAAAATATATGAAATTGAGTGAGAATCCAAATAAATTAGTATTAATCTTCTCAAATGTTTTTCAATCAATCTATGAGTATGGCCCCTTAATCCCTTGAACAGTTTCACCAGCACAGACAGGACAGAAAGCTAAGAGGAAACAGATGGTTTTGGAAACCTATCATCTTTCAGCTGAAAAGCAGCTCTCAAAATGCAGTGACCCACGTCACCAGACACAGCTGTAAGGCTCAGTGTTTTCCCCAATGATAGGGGTTATTGTGACATCAGGAGCTGCTTAATTACCATATTTACTAAGATATAATGTGCCATTGAATGTAACGCGAAGCATTACAAAAAATGGATTTGCTGTCAAATGTAATGCAAGGTGGTGGTGACCATGAAAAGGTTGATGAGAAGCTGGGCTCCTCCATCAGGTCTGGTAGGAAGGCAGTAGTGGCCATGAAAAGGCTGATGGGAAGCTAAACCCCTCAACCTTACCTTCCTGCAAGCCTTTTTGTGGCCACTACTAGCTTCCTACCTGTCTTTTCATGGCCATTGCTTCCTCGGTTTGTAGCTGGGATCTCTTGCCCAACAGTGCAGACAGGCTTAAGTGTGTGATGCTAATGCACCATTGGATCTAATGCAAACCTAATTTTTAGTAATGAAATTTAGTCAAGAAAGGTGAACATTAAACTTAAGGAACTATGGTAATCCCACCCCTCCATGTTGGTCTCCATTTGTTTGGTAAGAGTTTTAATTTCCAAAGATAAAACCTAAAATGCAACAGCAAACTGAGCTTAACTAGAAATCGAGAAGAAACTGAGTGACACTGCAAAGTTGGACAAGATGGGAAAAGGGGAGATTTTGGGGGGGGGGGGTAATTACTAAACTCCTGAATGCTGCACAAATATCAGTGTATGTTCATTTTTCCCCATTTTGATGACAGTTGTAATGGCAATGACAGGGCAACAGCCACAATTAATTGGATGTACTTCACAATGTTAGATCTACTCTGTGTGAAAAAATGAAACTCTCAGGAATTTTGCTTTGGATCTCCAGATTTTTAAATAGTTGTCTTTTTTATTTTAGAGGCTCCTAAAGGAGGGTGAACAATTCAGTCCAGGAATTTGCATTAAAGACAGGAAATAAGCTCACAAGCAGGTCAAGAAAGTTGAGCCTACGAACTTAATGATTAAGGAGGAAAATGAGCTCAAAGTGGGGGCTAAAGGTTCAATTCTGTACCTGGCAATTAAGAAGATAGGAAAGCTTAACCTGCTCCCGAATAGCTAAGAGGCTGGGAGTGGGAATTAAAGTACAGAATATAAGTAAGCTAGAAAAGGTAGTTGGGAGTTAAAAGGAGGATTAAGACAGGAAGCAGATCAACATATGGCAGAAGAGTGGATCTGAGAGTGCCAGAACTAAAGGCAAAGGACTGTTGCAAAAGGAAGCCAAGATAGAGGCCTCAAGTGGATTTAACAGGAAAGGCTGCATATCTATTGCTGAATTGTGGAAACAGTCTAATGTGAGCTTAACTTTATCTGCTCATTTTAACTAGTGAGGCTGTTCCAAAGTAACATTATTTTATTTTTAAAAAAATGTCACCCTAAACGGTTTATTAAGTTGTTCTTCTAGCAGTGGCATCACCCGGGTAATGCAGCACCAGGAAACCACCATCAGAGAGGGGTTGGCACCACAATGACTATAATTTTTTGTCTGCAGTGTTTCAACAAAAATGTATTAATTTTTATGGAAATAAAATAACCATGGGGTCTATGGCTGCATTCTGCTAACCGGTCTTTAATAAAATCAGTAAGAGAGAAAAGGCTTTCTTGAAGCTTTGTTTTCCATACAATACAGAAGTTGCATCTTCCCACTGTCCCGATTTGGCAGGAATAATCCTCTGCTTTTCTACTTTTAGAGCTACAACATTTTTAAATAATCCCAGTTTCTGACTTTCAGCCACTGCCCCAGAGTACTTCAATTGCTACAAAGGAAATTAAAAATGCAAAAGCAATTTGCACTGAGTTTAGGACTGGGAGGGAGAAAAGGCATAGAATCTTGGCCTTCCCTGTAGACAAAAATCAAGGCGCTGTAGTGTGTAGTGTGTAGTCTCTCCTAGCTTGTGTATTCTTCCTTGCTCATAACTTTGACACATTTCACTACATTCCCCAGTTTCTATCTGTTGACAGGTATGCCAAGAGTCATACCTAGGAGAGAGATTTATTTAGATCGGTAATTAGCCTACTGGAGTTAAGGGTTGTTTAGTGGAGGCACTCGAGGAATAAATGCCTCAGTGTACTGACAGAAGCCCATGAAGCTCACATCCTGTCATAGTTTCACAGAAGCTGGTTCGTACATGTTTGTTTCTGCAGTATAGCTGTTTTGGTTGGCCGTCTGTTTCCAATCCAAAGGGAATATTTGGTACAAAGCACTACTAGGTGTGTGAGTGCAAGAAAGAGAGAGAAAGATGGGCATAGTGGAGCGAGGGAGTAAGCAAGACCGCAATCAAAGAGGTTCCTTACTTTGCACTCTAGTTTTTTTTTGCTAGAGTTGAAGGGTGGGCCTGTGTCTGCTACACAATCAATAACAGTTAAGGAGGAAAGATTTCACTTCATGGCACTTACTTGGGGTGTTGAGCAGGCGTGACTTTTTGCAGTGGTAAGCTGCCTCCTGTTCACAGTATTCGGCACTATTTATCACTGCCTCCAGCTGCTCCATGCTGCTGTTGTAGTTAAAGCTCATGGCATATGGCTTCCCAGGATCAGCCCCACGGACTCGAGTCAGCTCAGTGTTGTTGTGCTGGACTACAGTCCAGCTCTTATCTTCTGTTAAGTTAAATGAAAAGGAAAAAAGATAAGCAGGCTGAAAAAAGTCAGAAGCAGCTGAAGACTGATGCATTTCTCCATTAGACACAAGAACATTAGGACAGAGGGCACTGAAATGGATGCCCTTTGATAGTGATAATTTGAAAAGTTAGTATTCCAAAATGGCTACTTTAAAAACAAGGTGTGAACTGTACTGGAACCAAGGAAAAAGCAAACTTATCTGCAAACAGAAATAAAAAAAGTTTACCTGCCTGATTGTTTTGCTGCTGGCCTGGTTTCAGGATTGTTTTTCTACCCGATCCCTCTCAGCCATCATTGCAATGTTCACAATTACAGCTGAGATGTATCAGTTGAAAAAACAATTCTTTTGAGAATGTGGTTTGCTGGAATTACTTGCAGAGCTCCTTGGTCTCACAAGTCATTCCTACTTCTATATTGCCACACTTACTGAGTCGAAGTGGGTCAACAAAGTCCACAGTAGTTTGTCCAACTAAATCACTGACATGACTGCATCAGAATTAAGGTTGTTGTCCTCATGCTTCCCCAGATGAAAACTCCCAGATACAAGGAGGATTATTTGCCTACCTCTGCTATTAAGTGCTGACCCCAAGACCCCTGACTGATGGAAAGGCAAAATTGTACTTGAGTTTTAGTGAACTGTAAAAAGATACTCTGTTCTATCATTTAGGGGATAAAGCAGAGCGGATCTTTCCTTTTAGTTACTGTCTGGTGAAAGTGAGGCATGATGGGGCACTGAGATATAACTGTAAGTGTCCTCAAATATAGCAAAGAGGAAGTATGATATTGTACAGTTCTAGCCAGTGAGTAAAGTGGTTATATCTTAAGAATGTGAAAGGAAATAACAACAAAACATTGTTAGTCAGTAATTATATTGGCTACTGAGTGCTGATGAAGAAACAGAATGCATTTTAAGCACATCCTCCTATGCTGTTAAGCAGTTGTTTTGATGGTATAGTAAATCCAAGAGTATGAACCATGAATATCCACTCTGAAGGATGAAGGGGAGTGAAGAGGGCTATTGCAGAAAATCTATTAATTTCTTTCTAGCTAGTGTGATTTGCAACTCGGATAGAAGCAAAAGAAAACCTTACTAATTCAGATCAAAAATCACGTAGTTCAGTCATCCTGTTTCTATGGTTGCCAGCCAGGTGCCAGGGTTGGCGGGGGTGTGGGGGGTGGGTGGACAAGTAGTATATGAGGACAATGAAACTTTCAAACTGCTGTTTGTCAAAATTTGGTATTTAGAGATGTTATTCTCCTGGTCCTGGAGATAGTATGTATTTGCTGACATTCTTATTCTCCATTAATTTGAATATTTTATTTTAAAGCAATCAAAGTCTATGTCCAGTTACCACATTTGTGTAAAAATATTGATGTTTATTTTTATCTTTCATAATTAGGATCTCCATTGCAATTGATTTAGAATTCAGAACAATAAGCTAGAATGACCAAGTCTTCAACAGCTTTAAAATTGAGATTCATGAAGTGCAGCCTCATAATATCTAGGATTGTAAACTCTCTAAAGGAAAAATACTGGATACCTAGGCAGAACTCAGAGGCAAGTCTCAGCATTCAAAGGACAAAACTGAGGGTGCTTCCAGACAGTGCCAAAATCCACATATTATAATTGAATCAAAAAATCCTGGGACCTGACAACAGGTCCACACACAGACCCAGGGATATTGTCCCTTGCTGTCCTCACATCTTCTTTTGAAGATAGAGGGAAAGGAAGTACATCCGACTGATTTTTTTTAAAAAGTGCCCTCCATTTGCACACATGCAAATATCTTGATATAAACACAAACAGATTTGCATGTGCACATGAGAGGTTCAGCACATAATGGAGGGTTTTTAAAAAACTTCAATCAGATATCTCTATTCTCCCAGTTTTTAAGTCAACCTCTGTTTAAGATTATAAAGTGTAAAATAAAGAGTTTCTGAGAGTTCTAATTGCTCTTCATTTGTGCTTCCCCAGAACCACCTGTGTGTCCTTTTGGCAGCCTGATCAGCTGTTTTGGGCTTTTAAAAAGTGCATGTGTGCTGGATCAGTCATCACATGGTGAAAGGAAGGAAAACATGTGTTTTGCATGATTGCAGGGATAAACAGTCATGCAAAGGTGCACTTTTTCAGACAGAATCGGGTTTTAAGTGCATCTTTTTAACATGTGCTTTTAACCTCTTAATCCAATCCCTCCCAAACTTTGGCTAAACACCGTTTAGCCACTCTCCTTCCTTTTACTTAGTTACTTCCGGGTTTTACAGCATGTATAAAAAGGGCCCTGAGCTGTAAGTATTTGGTATAGGTACTGCATACACTTAGATGCTGTATGTCAAAAAGTGTTCGATCAAGCCAACTGAGCGATCAACCAAATCCTAATCAGGCTCCATTTGTTTTAGAAACATACAGGAAAAACTAAATTGACATAACTGAAACAGTGAATTCAAAACAGAAAACACAAAACTAATTCAAAACAATCCTCTCCAACAAAAAAACAAACAAAATAACAACCCAAGATGCTAACTTCAGATTGATTGGATTGATGAACAGTTCAAAATCCAAATAAACAGGATAATTTCAGGAAGTTAAACAATATCTCACTAATATCTCTCTCTCCTTTCTCCATCTCTCTCACACATTCACATGTATGCGTGTGTGTGCGTGCACACACAACCCTCTCAGAATCCCACATTAATTTATTTATGCATTTATGCACTTAGCCATGGAAACTTGTTGGGCTAATTATATTATACCCTCCCAACCTCAGAGGAAAGCAAGGGAAAACTCCCTCTGAACAAATTTCTCCAAGAAAATGTGAAGTTTGCCATAAGTCAAAAATTCATTGAAGGTACACCACAACAAATGTACTTGTTAGTTTCTATTGATTTAATTGGTCTACTTTAGTTGGGACTAACAATTGGATTTTGTTCTCAGACATCATATTTTTACTCAGCTCATAAAATTTATCTTTAACCTCAAATCACTCATAAACAATCATGTTTCATATACTGGCCCTTATATACATAATATGCACACATTCCTGTATCCCGTCTCCTCCATGCCCCCTCCTCATCCGCCCCCACAGATATACTGCATTGGCATATCTTCTGAGATCTCTAGCTGTGCTGGACAGAAAGGCAAATTTGAACACATGTCTCCATTATGTCTTGTATAGACCAAACCAAGAAGTGGGGGAGAGAAGAACAAAAGAACTGTAGTACAGAAAGAACTGGAATATAACCACTGTGCCCTGTATTCAGTTGCAGAAACTCCTGATCTCTGTGTGTTCAGCATCCTTGTGATTAGTTTTAACAATCAAAAGTAGGACAAGAGAATGTTCCCTATTCATCCCCAACTCTATTGTCAGAATAATGTAAAATAAGCTTTGACAAAACTTAGAAGATGGCACCAATGTTTAAAAACCTCTAGCTGTTATGGCTGATCAAGCTATATTTTACGAGGAATTCAGTAGAGAAAACAATACCTTTGCCCATGATTTTTCCCCAATATGCACGTACTTCTACTAATATTGGCTGCTAATATACCTGCAGAATATAACTATGATAGTTTCCTATCCAACCCTACCTCTTCTCCATGGCAGTCTCATGCAGTCCCAACCCACTTGCTTTTATTATTTTATTTATTCATTTGTTTTATACTCCACTTTTCTCCCCATGGGGATTCAAGGCAGCTTCCTGGTTGATGGAGAGAAGATGGAAGAGATGATATTACTATTCTGTCACCAACTTCAGGAAAATAGCTTGGTAACTCCTTCACTCTCAGGAAATAATTGCGATTGGGGAACTACTGCTAAGAAATGTTGGATTTGAATGGGTATTTGGTTTGTTGCACAATCAGTAGTGAATTTCAAATTTCTCAATGATCAACCAAGTGAGTTGCAGTGGCACAGTTCTACCATCATTGTAATTCCCTGACAGAATGTCAGTCATATGGCAAACTTCGTTGCAAATATTACATTTGTTACATAATCTATCTATATCTAATTCTGTATCTACATGTATTGGGGAAGTGGTACTAGGTAGTGGTGTTTCTTATGCAAATGGAACATTAATTTGGTCAGCTATGGTTTTTACTCTAAACTTTAAGAGTGCTTCTATAGAAGCATTCATTCCAGAGTATAAAGAGGGCTTTTTTAAAAAAAAAATAATCCTGTTACCTTCTGGAGAATCTCCACCTGGCTCCATTACGCCAGAGTAATCCTTCCAGGGCATCTGCATTTATATAGAATGATCTCATTGCCAGGTTATTTGCCGGAAACGTTCCACTGCCACCCACCCACCCATGTAGCAGTGGACATGCACTGCAGCACACGTGCAGAGTGCAGGAATGTCCAGGGTTTTAAAAGGAGATTATGCTCTGGTGCCATTCACACCAGCACACTGCATGGAAATCCCATGAAGTCTGCTGCAGTATGTTTTACAGCTGAATCAGAACTTTCTCTGAACTTTTTAAAACATGGATTCCCCCTGTTTAATGAAGTTTTGCCTGGATTATGGGCATACATTGATTGACTCCCACCCCACCCCAATTATAATCCACTTCAGTGTGGGTTATAAGGCCAGTGTAGATGTGGCCTAAGTGAGATATGCAAAGTGCTGAACTTTACCCAAAGGCATATTTATATTTACTATTTAGTTGTTTTACAGTTCAGACAAAAATACAGAGCATATTCAATGCTCCACTGACATCAGAACCATCAACCTTCATTGGGAATCGGACACTCAGATGAAATGAAGGTGTTTTCCTCCTAGTCTTCCTTTAGCGTCACCTTTGGCCCTAAAAATGGAATACATTTTCATTTGTGATAGGCCTCCTCTGTCTCCCATGAATGCTTACGAGGTATTATTTTCTGTCATTATCATTTGAGTCACATTAGAAGAGCTTCAGTCCTTAGAAGAGCTAGATTCTAGTGTGCAAAGTCTTTTTCTTCCCAAATTCAATTAGATCTTCTGGCCATGGC